TTTCTGGGTGTGAAAGAGAGGCACCATTTGAACAGAAAAACACCTTTAGAACTTTTGTTTACCCTTTGCTTAGCTCACTGAAGCCTGAGAATTTAATGTATGTCTCAAGGGCTGATGAGTTACTTGAGGATGGTACTTTCCTCTTGCTCATTTTAGAATTTTTCCTACAAGAACAGGGAGTAAAGACTGTTGGCTGATTGAAGTCATCTGGGTTACATATTTTAAAACCACTTAATATGAACAACTTAAATTAGAAAGCAGGAATAAACTTTTGACTTTAAGTCATATTTTGTATTTTTCAATGGAAATCTGGCACTATAAATCTATATCTATAAATATTTCCATGCTGGATGACCACACTTTTCTTGGACATTACCTTCTGGAAATCATCCAAAATATGTAAAATGCTTAAATTGCAAAAGCATTTATCATAGTTCCTTATAACAACAGTAAGTTGGAAACACACCATCCCTGCCAATTTGATTAAATAACTTTGGAAGCATCTACTTGATGAGATATTATGTAATCATTGAAAAGTACAGGGACATCAAGGCTCAGTACTTTGATAAATTGCTAGTGAAAAATATTTGGTTGAAAATTGAGGTACAATGTGATTATAACTATCAGACTAACATGCTTAGAAAGAAACTAGCAGGGAATATACAAAAATATTTGAAAGAGTGGAAAATTCTTCTGCTTATTTAATTTTTTCTTTATTTAATTGTGTTGCCTCGTTTTGTAATAAGATAAAAGACAGAAACACTGAAAAGAAAAGGAAATAAAATTCTGGGAGTCGCTAAGGGGAGATAAAACTGCTGTTGAAGCAGATAAGCAGGTGGACAGGTAAATGCATGAAATAGTCTAGAGATGAGTCTAGTGAAATAGTCTAGTAATAGTCTACCATGATTCTGTGGATGCTCATGAAAATAGCATTCTTTCGTGATTTCCTGTTCTTGCTTCATTATGTTTTGGTGCCTCATGGAGTTTATTGCTGAATACAATAGTCCCCTCCTGAGGGGATTGGTTTGGAGGCTCCTCCTGGCTGGCTGAAACTGCAGATACAGCAAACCCTATAACTTAATGCCTTTTCCATCTTAACCAAGTCCTTGTCACTCACTGTTGCAATATATTTTGCAGTTTGAGGTGTAACAGGCAGACTAGTACAATATTTGTCCTTCTTCTTCACAGTTTCAGAGAGTGAAAATGTTTTCTAACCTTAGATGTCAGCAACTTCAACCTTGGCATAAGTTTTTCTTTCTATCCTTCATAGGTCAAGAAGTTTCTTCTTTTTACTTCAAGGAAGCACTTTATGACCTTTCTCTGGCATATGCAAATTACCAGCATCACTTTTCTTGTGATTTGGAACTGTTATTAGACAAACTAAGGGTTACTTGAGCATGATCACTGTGATACTGTGACATCTGAAAGTATATATAACTACTCAGTGACTAAGGAGTGGGTAGTATAAACAGTATGGACACATTGGACAAAGAAATGATTCATGTCTTGGGAGGGATGGAGTGTAAGATTTCATCATGCTACCTAGAGTGGCATGCAATTTAAAGCTTATGAATTGTTCAGGTTGGAAATTTTCCATATAATGTTTCTGGATCACAGTTGACTGTGGATAACTGAAACTGTGGAAAGTGAAACCACAGAGAGGGAGGAGTACTATATCCACATTTGTCTGTCTGAAGCCCTTCTCCTTTAAATGTTTACATAAACATGTTTCTCTGGCATATTGCTTCTCTATCTTTTGAGATTGGGGATTAGGTAGGCGAGATGGTATGGCAAAGCTGGTAAATCTGCCACAGCATCACAGGTCACCCAAGAATTCCAGACACCACTTCACAGACTTATTTCTTAAGAACAATTCACAATCTCTGGAAATCAAGAAATTAATTTGAAGCAATAGTTCTAGTAGAAGTCTATTTTAGTTAGCTTTTTTGTCACTGTGACCAAAAGACCTGACCGAAACAATTAGAGGAGGAAAAGTTTATTTGAGGCTCACAGTTTCAGAGGTCTCTGTCCATAGATGGCCAAATCCATTGCTTTGTTCTGAGGTGAGGCAGAACATTATGGCACAAGGGTGTGGCAGAGGGAAGCAGCTCAAACATGGAATTCAGGAAGCACAGAAAGAACTCCACTCACCAAGGACAAAATATAAATCTCAAAGTTATGTCCCTACTGGTCTGTCTCCTCCAGCCACACCCTACCTGCCTTCATTTAAAAATTAATCCACTGATTAGGTTACGACTCTAACAAACAAATCATTTCACCTCTGAACCTTGCACTTGTCTTATATATGAGCTTTTGGGGGATACCTCATATATAAACTATAATGGGCTGGGGGACATCAGTGAGGATCAGAAGTCACTGAACATCTCCATACTTCTAGACCAAAGATCTGTGCAAAGCTCTTCCCAGGAATGGAAAGTTCGTGGACTGGTCCTTGTAAAGAAGCAGGTGGTGAAACAGGTGTTAGATGTGTCTTGCCGAGCAATTTAGGCTTCTGTCTATAAAAACACAAAGCCTCCGAGTTTCAACCTCACGGAGTTTAGACCTCAACTTCTGCTTCTCTTCTAGTTAACCAAAAGACATCATCACCAGTTACAAAGTCAGCACCATGTTTAACTCCTCAAGTGATAGGAGAAATAATAGAATTGAATAGAGAAATGGTATAATGTTGTTCTTTGGTGGAAATGGGTATTTTGATTAGCTGCAGGTCTTTCATTCAAAGGTGCCTAACTAAGCAATTGTTTGCCACTGTAGTGGAAGACCCAAGAGATTCCTTTCAAACTTCTGTAACAGTCTGTGAATAGGAAGATGACTATGACAGAGTGCAAAAAGGAAAAGAAAAATGTCGTGTGTGGGGGGAACTTTTTGTATGCTACTTAGGCATATCATTCTCGCAAATGGATTTCTGCAGTTGATTTTTATTGTTGTATTTCACCTGTTCCTGATATTTTTAGACAGCTTTGTTTTTCTTTCTTTCTTTCGTTCTTTTTTTTTTTTTTTAGCTACCCTGAGATGGTCCTTAATGTGGGAGCTGTCATCCCAGAGTCTTTTCTCAATACATTTTGGATAAACTGCTGTTTGATTTTCCCATAGTGAGTGATTAAAGTGACTGCTGCTATTCTTTTTCAGCAAAAATAACAAAATGTAATTGGCTGTAAGGCTATTTCGAAGGCAGGGTTGCCATTTATCCACCAACAATCTCATGTTAGGAAATCTGTTCTGTCTCTTCTAGCTGTGTTGGATATTCATCCTGGCTCTGTCCTGGAAGGGGGAGTATCAGGGTGGACTTAAATCAGGGCTCTGCCATATAGATGCTGGCTTCCACCTACAGGTGGTCTCTGGAGTCCACCTGTAGCAGTGCCACATCATGGGAACAGTTCTGGAATGGAACCCAGGACCTGAGATTTAGCTGACATCCAATTGTGTTAAGGTCCTTGCATGGGCTCAGTGTCTTCCTCACTTTAACAGCAGTTGTGATCACCATGCTTCACTCTATCACTATGCTTCTGTGATTTTTGCCTTCTGATCTATGGGACAATTGTCCATTCTGCTTTGGAGACACAGTGGGAACAGGGATGGGTCTGGAGAAGGGTGAGAAAAAAGCAAGATGATAGTGGGAAGCACTGTGAAGACTATGAGTAGGGTTGGTTCCCTTGTATGGAGTGCTCAGGGGTAGGATCCATGGGCCCATCTGTTCAGCGTGCAGTAGGAGAAAAGGAATCCAAAGACAGAGTCAGGAGCAAAGAAGAATGAGTGATAAGTTCAGAAAAACCTTTTATCTGGGTCTCCCAGAGCTCTTGAGTACTGCCACTGAGCTGTCCAGATAGTACTTCTCTGCTCTGCCCTGAGGGTAGTCATTAGTACTGTTGAGTCTCTGTCTTTTTGGGGGGATGTGGGTGCAGGAGTGCTGGGGATTGAACCCAGGGCCTTACGCATGATAAGCATATGATCTACCACTGAGTTACCTCCACCTGCTCTGTCTTAGTTCTTTATATTTTTTCCTCTCCTTCCTCATCACCAAGGTTCAGGTTAGACACAGTCTCTCTCTTTCTTTTTAAATGATGACTTTACTGAGATGACTCACCAAATATAATATTTATCCTTTCTTTATTTTTAATTTATTTTTTATTGGCACATTGTATATAATAATGAGATTTGTTACATATTCCTACATGCACGGGGAAAGAAAACTCACCCTTTTAAAGCATACAATTCAATTGGGATTTAGAATATTCACAAACCTGTAGAGATAATTTCTCCTTTTTATAAGTAGAAGAAGGAACAAATTATAAATCATTCATATTGAGCATAATTTCAGATGTTGACTTTGTATTATTTTCTTTTAAAACTTGTTTATGCACTATGATTGCTTGTTTGTTTTCTGTTTTCTTTTTTCCTTCCTGCCTCTGATTGGATTGATTGGGTTTGCTGTGCTTCATGTTTTCCTTTGAGTAATTTGTAAGCCAGATACCAACTTCTGTTCACCAAGCAATTGCCCTGAAATTTTCATCAAGAGTTTAATCTCACACTTTCCGATTTATCGACAATTAAATGGCAATATCAACTTCCTTCCTGGTAAAACAAAAATGTTGGCATACACCCTTTGTTTTATGTTCCCCACTCTCACTATGTTGAAACCCATAGGAATTTTAATTTTGTGTTGTCATTAACATTTTAGATTTAGTTGTGTTGTTTCATTTACACTTTAGCTTACTACTGTATTTTTTGGCATCCTATATATTTTCTTTTTGGGTTTTTTTTTCATTTAGCTGGAATATATATTCTTAATTCAGGGGATATCCCAGAGAGATAAATATTCTGAGTATTTGTGTGTCAGAGCATGCCTCTCTTCTTCACTCTCTTGAATACTAGTTTGGTAGAAAGGAGAATTTCCAATTCAAAATAGTATTTCAAAACCATTCAGATATTTTTCCAGCATTCAATATGTCAAACTCTGATGACTGTTTATAATTTTTTCGTAGATTTTCTGATGTTTCTGTGCTCTCTGGGAACTTGGAAGAAGTCTGGTTTCGTTCATTCAGCAATTGTTTATCAAGAGGCTCTTACACAAAGGCACTGTTCCAGATTCTAAAGGTAAAAATGTGAACAGAGCAGATGTCTTGTCCTCATGTTGCTTGAATTCCAGTGGAAGGAGCAACAAGGAAAACAAACACAGGAGAAAAACCATGTGCTATGTCATTAGCAAGTTTATTTTGGTTCTTGGTTTCAGAGGATAGTCTGCAGTTAGCTGAGTCCATAACTCAGGGCCCAAGGTGAGGCAGATCATCATGGCTGCAGGGAAAGATAGGGTGTAGGGAGCACAGGAACAGCCACAGAAAAGATAAACCCTTCCAGGGCATGCTCCCAGTGACCCACTTCCTGCAGCCATACCCACCTGCCTACAATCACCACCCAGTTAGTTCATTCAAACTGGGATGGATGGATTCAATTCTTTAGATGTAAATCATTGTAAACGATTGTAAAAATACAATAATTTTGATTCCAAACATTCCTGCATTAACCCAGGAGCTTCTGGAGAACACCTCACATCCAAATCATAAGAGGTGTGCTGGTTAGAAGTGGCTAAGTATCAACATTAAAGAAAATTACTGAAAAAGTAATCTGTGACTGGAGGCATGAAGGAGGTGAGCATGTAAGTAGTGTGATTTCTGGGAAAAGAGGAGCCACATAGGAAGAACTTCATGTGAATAGAACCTGAGGCAGGGCATGCCAGTCCTGTTTGAAGAAAGCAAGTAGTTATCATGTTTATTTGGCATATATTAATGAAGGGGAAACTTATATGAGGTAGTATCAAAGACATAGAGAATGAGAAGGATCACTTACATCCAGAAGGACTGTATAGACCATTTCTAAATCTTAATTGGACTCTGAGTAAGATGAGAAGCCATTGAGGATTGGGAGAAGAAGGATGGCATTTTCTGCTTTACCTTTAGAGAGATTACTCTGGTTATAGAGTTGTGAATACACTGTAAAAGAAACAGTTCAGTAAGAGAGTAGAATAAGAGAGGATTCCTGAGTTTGCTGTTATGATCCCAGGAATCAGTGATGTGACTTGAACCACAGTCATTGCAATGTGCGTGGTGAGAGGTACACCAATCCCAGATTTACTTAATTTAATATTTTGTAATATTATAATTTAGAGATAATTTTTACACAGGACATTTACAGAAATGTTGTAAGCATGGGTATAAAAAACTTCAATGCCTGCTTTGCCTAAATCCCCAATTTTAATTTTTACCACATTGACTTTTCATGTTTATATACATATTATATGTAATATGTATATTATAATTTCTTGGATCAATCTGAAAAGAAACCAAGAACATGATGATTTTTATCCCTATGATATGCAGTGCACATTTTTCTAAAGACAAGATATTCTTTTATATAACTGCATACAATGATCAAATTTAGGAGAGTAGCATAGATGAAATTCTATTACTTAATCTATAGGCTCTGTTAATATTTTGCAATTATACCAGTAATGTCCTCTACAAAAAAAAAAAAAATCCTACCTAGAGATCCTATGTGGACTATTATGTGTGACGGGGATAGAAATGGTGGTGAATTTGGGAATAAAACAAAAAAATCAGGGAGGAATGCCAAGCTTTCAATCAAGCAACTGGAAAGTAAAGTCACTACTACCAGAGGCTGGGAGGACTTTGAAGGAACAACTTTTGTGTCTCTCTGGGAATGTGGGAGTGGTATCCAGCTTTGAAGTTTGAGATGCTCATTAAACATCAATGTGAATATGAAAATGTGTTCTCTGTGATTTGACATTCCATCTTCATTTGTCTAAATATGAGAATTTTCTATTAGTTTAGCACAGTATTAGTAGGCTCTTTCAAAACAAAAATTTCATCTTTTTATGCATAATAAATATTCTTACTTAGTTAAGTATTCCACTTCATTTTTCTGTCTCCTGATTGTTGGAACTTCTAGTTTTGCCCTAGGAGTTTCTTACCTTTTCTTTTTATCTTTCATCCCTTGACCTTTTTGTTATTATTATTCCATCTTTGTAGATCTCTTTGAATATTCTTGTAAGCTCACTGATTGTGAAGTAGGACATTTAAAAAAAAATTCAATAACAACGGAGTCTTTTTTTTTTTAACATCATTCTCTTTCCTCTGAGGGCATTTATAGATGTTTTGCCTTTTTAGCTTACTAATTAGTCTTGGTTCTTTTGCCTGAGGAATTTGGTCTCCATCTAATGTGGCATTTATTTTCCTAAAACATTTAGTGATTATTTCTTGTCTTTTTATGTTTGTACTTGATCTGATGATCTCACCACTTGCCATGAAGAATCTCGAGCACAATCTTTCCTTTCCAACCCATGTTTTTAATGTTTGTTTAGTTTGGAACTGGCACTGACTGATGCTAATCCTTATACTATTTAAACTTGACTGACATAATGGCCAGCTAATGATATCATGCTTCTGTCTCGCCCTTCTCTAACTCTACCTTTATTATCAAAATGATTTTGAAGTTGAAATGTTGAATGCTATTTGAGATTATAAAATCCACTGCATCTCATATTTTTCAGTATAGAATAGGAAATATTGAGTGTGGCAACATAGTGGGTAAGCCTCATCTGCAGACACTCGTCTGTATTTCATTAATATATTTTAAATTTCAGGTGTTTCTGGCTGTTGGTAATCCCCTAAACATGCATCCACTCTTTACTCTGACTCTTTGATTGAGTGCTTTATCTTGTCTCTATGTCCAGAACTTCAATTCATCCTTCAAGATTAAGTACCCATCAAATACCTGTACCCATTTTGATACCTTCACTGTGACTAGATCTTAAAATAACTACCCTCTTTTCTGAAATTTTACAGCACTTTTTTACTTCCCTATAGGGGTTTCTTTAATAATCTACGTATCTCTATCTCTCTTGCCAAATGGAAAGAGATATAAATGCAATGATGTTTACTCCATTTCTGAATCTTTCCTACCTACTATACAATAAACATTTAAAAATTATATTATTTGTTTAATAAGTGAAGTGAGAAATCCAAGATTATAGGTGCTCTTTTGTTTTGAAAAGGGTAGAAGTCCTGGTAACTGTGGTCTATACACTTATAAGGATGTGGATTGCTTAACATTATTTTGGAGGATTCTGAAAACTTTGTAGGAATCTAATTTAGTAGGCTGGTCTCTGATGTTGGTTCTATCGTAGATTTTTGTAAAACAACCACAGAAACCAGTTCCATGTCTCACTTCTGAGATTGGGGTAGTCTTTGGGCAATGGGGAATGACCACTGAGGCCCAAGAAACATTGTGGGCAAGGCAATGGGAAGTGAACTGGCAAGACACAAGGAAACTGCCATTAACCAAGTCTTAGGTAAATCCAAGGAGCTCTCCTGTGTGTGGGTTGAAATTAGAACAAAACAAGAAAAAAATCATGCAGGCAAGATGACAGAATCCTACTGCTCTACCAGGATTGGGAGAGGCTGGTTTAGAGCTACAAAAACCAATGGACCCTGTTCCAATATATTGTGCTAATAGGTAAATCAGGAGATGGATCTATCTATCTATCTATCTATCTATCTATCTATCTATCTATCTATCAAGATATATACAGAATTAAATATGTTCTTTTAGAAACCAAAGTGTTTTAAGTAGGAAAATGAGAGTGGACGGGACTCAAGCAAACTTGAGTTTGAGGCAAGACTTAATTCTAGACTTCTGAATTCAATTGCAGAGAAAAAGAAGAGATCCCTGCCTAGGAGGGAGAGGTTCATGTCTAGGATGAGGTGGTCGACACATTGCCAGAGAGGTAGCCATGCTTCCTTGGGAGAGCTTGCTCAGGACCCATCGTTTATTTCTGGGATCCTGACATTAGTTACTGGTTTAGACCCAAATGTGGCTCTATCAAAGAAAGTAATGAGGTCAATGATTTTTTCATCATTATTTTATTCATTCAACTAACAACTTGTGTTCACTATTTTAGAAAATTATGCTAACATTGAAAGAAATTCAGAATCAAGAGGTCCACAAGGGACTAAAATATGAAATAAGGAAGGAAGAAAGCAATTGAAAATGTCTGCAAGGCTAGGCAAGGGCTCCTGAAGGATGTGGAATCTGAGCTTGCACATCAGGGATGTATAATAGCATGAGAATAGGGCAGAATATTTTGGAAAGAGGAAATACAATGAAGACACATGGGTGAGATATCAAAACTGAATGATAAAGTAAATGTTAATGTTTTTTTTTTTAAATCCCTGGTTCCTTGTATTGGTAATGGATTGTTTCTAAGACATCCATTGCCTTCTTACAAGTCTTAAATGAGTTGGCTGCCTTTGTTGGAGTATGGTTCATATTGTATTAAACAGCCAACTAGGTAAATAGGTAAAAGGTTTTCATCACTTCTTGGTGTAAAGACCCAAATCCAGGAAAATACCATAGTTGGCTCAGAGCCTGAGAATGACAACAGCATTGCTGCTGGGACCATCAGAGCCTCTCTTCCTCTATCCTCTTCCTCCTCCTTCCTGCCCCTTTCCTTTGTTTTCCCCACCTCCTCCCTTTTTCTCTTGTCTTCCTTTTCTTTCCTTCCATCATCTTCTTGACATCCTATTTTTTTCCTTTCATGAGTTTGTTGAATCATTACAGAAACACTAACCACTCACCTTGTGCCAAATACTGGGTTAGTGCATATGTTATTATTATTTTTCTGTGAAAATTGGGTGTGAGGTGGAGTTTTTAAGTAATAAAAGTATGTTTAAAACATTCTATTCTAGATGCCTCCTAGTTTTTTTTTTTAATTCCCTTTTTTTCCTCTTCAAAGTGTCTGTATCCCAAAGCTCAGGGAAAATAACAAAATTTGGGCCTAAATATTGAAAAATTAAAATTCATATAATCCAAACTTAATACCCAGGAGAAGAAATGGCTTCTCATTTAAGAGAGTGTTTGTTTCATCACAGTTGGCGAGTTTTGCATAAATTGCACTTATAGTTGTTCCGAGTACCTAGGTCCTGATATTCATCTCTCAGACCTGTCTGTCACATACCCAGTAAGTCACTGCTTCACAGCCCACGGCATCTCTCAGACATTGTGGCTTTCCCACAGCCTCG